TGGAACGGAGAGCTATCCTCCTTTCTACGGTCCAACTCCTTTGTTTTACGAATCCTGGTTTTAAGAATGAGTGATTGCCCTTCTCCGAAATCTCATGCCCAAGTGGAAAGTGGTTAAGTAATGTGTTCCATTTATTGATTAGGGTTTGTTGGTGCTCTATGACCCGAAGGATGTTAGTAGTTGAAGATTCCATCTTTTTAACTCATTTCGCTTCAAGTGTTGAACATATTTGGGAGAACCTAATTTATACACTTCCCCGGGGATCCCTGATGAGGGAACTTAGGAGAGCGTCGGACTCCAACTATGCTCCATGGACGACCACTGGTTTTGGGACAGTTGTAAACATTAGAACAATTGTAAACATTAGACAGTTGTAAACATTAGAACAATTGTAAACATTAGAACAAGCCACTTTTGGAAGAGAAAATGTCGGTGTTATTTCTTCCCTGGATGGATGTCCTGGTTGGTGGCAGGGTGGTGCCTAACATCATAAGGTATTCCTGAGGCAGCTGGGTCATCCAAACAGATTCAACGGCGTCTTACGTTATCAAGTGTTTCTCTTTCTATTGGTCATTTGTCTATGTTATTAATCTGAAATCCTTGTACATTGCTTGATAGAAAAATGTTTCCCAATCATGTTCATGGTATCGTTTCTTCATTTGAAACTGTAATGTTGTATTACCTATGCTTAAAGGAGTGGTGATGTCTCATTTTACTACATGGGATGCTGATATATTTTTATTTCTATTTCTTTGCATTTTAAATTCTTTTTATTAGTTTGTTGATCATATCTGTTGAAAGAATTTATTTTCAGTATATTTTTCATTTCTGACTAGGGTGAAATCAGCATTTCCACATATATGAATGGAGATTCGCAACGTTGACTAGAGGAGTTCTTTTTTAATATATTGACTTAGAGTTCAGGTCTTGAATACTCTTTCTTTGCCTCCTTTCCCTCATTTGTTGAAGAATCCTCACCTGGAGAGAAGTATTCATTGCTTTTCCCCTATGCTTGCATGAGCTGTTCTAAAATTTGGCAAACGACTCATTGGCAATGAAGAAAAAAAGGCCGGTCTTACAGCTGCTCCGGACATATATCTTGGCTGGTGGCAGGATGATGCCAAATGCTAAAGGTATCCCTGAGCCAATTGAGTCATCTAAACAGAGAAAATGTATCTGGCAATGCCTAGCACAGTGAGTAAATCTTCGAGCACTGGTAGAGTGTGATTTTTTTTTTCAGTGATAAAAAGAGAAACTTCCTTAGAATGAAGTTATTCTCTGGATGCCTATCGTTTAAGCTTACATGGTTGGTGGGTCGTGCCAACTTGCATCAGTTAGGCATTTGCTAGACATTTGCTTTGCCACCAAATTTCTTTCTCGCTAAGTGTTATTGAATCTCTTTGTAGAATTTGGATCAAATGTGACTTGGCTTGGGGTTCATTGAGTGACATCAATGGAAAAAGTAGGTTTTTTATTTCTATACAAGAACTTCATTCATCTTGCCAGACTTATGTTATAACACTTTGTGAAACTCAGTTGAGGAACATACTATGGCCCTTTTTAGCAAATGTATGAGTAAAAGTGTTAGATCATTTGACACCCAATTCACGTACTTATCTATTTTTTAATCACTTCATAATCTTTCCACACAGTGATTAAGAACTGATTTGAACTACTACTGTTCTACAGGAGACTGTGCATTTAGAGCTGCTTAGCTTGTAATGGAGGCTTGTTTGCATATTGTCTATTTCCTTAGCTGTATTGCCTTTTCATGTTATTTTCTTTTCTTAGGTTTAATGGAGATTTATTTCATTTTTATGATAGTGTTGTTTATTTATAAATCTGAGGTTATTTTGCAGATTATTTTCTCAAATTAAGGATTGCAGATCAGTCATACACGCCTCCTGGTCTTTCAGTTAACTTTTTTTCTGAAAGTGAAACAAAATTGCCACATGTAATGTCATCAGGGGACATAATTTGTCTCCACCGAGTCGTGGTAAGCTTGCTTGGAAAGTGTACGTTATTTTTCTCAAGTTAGATTATCTCGACATCCTTTGAATTCGATTTATTTTTTAACTGCAGCTTCGTAGGTTTTCCACGAATTTGTTTATTATGGTTCACAGTTTTTTGGTTCTTCTCTCATTCTCTTTGTTTCTTATTTGAAGTTTTCTTATAAAAGATGTATACTAGTTACTCGCGCAATCCTGATACTAAATAGGTCTACTTGTGATTCTGATCTGGATGGGACTTGTTCACTTCTATTAGCTGTCATAAGAAAACATTATTATAGTCAAGTCTGATCAAATGGCCCAAATGCCGGGTGGCCTTCTTTTTCGTCTCGAATGACCTAATGAATAACTAAGTTTGTATGTTACAGGTATAAATTATTGTGAAGTATGGTCCAGCTGCTTGTTGATGTGATTTTGGGGCATATAAGAAGAAAAATCCTTTTTTTGTTTAAGAAGATTTTGGTACGTTCTTTTGTTGAGTCACAGAAAATAATTTCTCTACGTCACTGATTTGTCGTGGTGATGGGCGATTTTACATTTCGTCCCATTTTTTCAGTTACACATTCTTTCTTATAGTTTTCCAATTACTTTATGATCAAGTAATATGAAAACTTTGCTAAGGTAGTGAAAATTTCACGTAGTGAGAACTTTGTTATATCTATGATGTCTGAAAAGACGGAGTGAGAATTCAGCTAAAATTTCACGAAATTAATCAAAGTTGGAAGTGAAATATAATGGTCTCTGATGTGCTTCTGCTAAGGTGCAAACGACAATAACAAAAGTAGATTGTGAGTTTATGGATTTGTCTGAAATTGTGGGATAATTTGGGTTTTTTTTGGTGAAAATTGTGTTGTAGTTATTAAACACATGCTAAAATCCTTGGGTATCTTTGATGGGTTGTAAATGCTCGCATGTTCTGTTTTCCAGATAAAAATTTATGACGCGGAGGTGTATTGTGCTTTCCACAAGAAGTTCTCTTCGTTTGCCCTTTTTGAGGGAAAAGGTGGTTCAAGCTTCATCCCTTATCAAGCTTCTCACAACTTCCACGCCATGAGGCATGATGCAGACTTTATTAAGAAGCTTCGGACATGGTTGCTTGATTATCAACCTGATTTGGGTAACTTTTTCTCTGACGGTTTCGTTTATTTTGTGCTTTAATGCTACGAACTGGAGTATTAAATCTGGACATTGCATCACTTCTATTTCATTTGAAATGTGGAACTTTTGGAACTGGCTAGAGTTTTCTAGTATCATTTTGTGTATCCTACTGAAATTGTCACATTGATTGAGAGCTACGTTAATCTTTTGTTTACTGAAAGCATGGGAAGACATAATGACCGAGGAAAAAATGGTGAAGCTGTGTGATGGACAGCAACTATAGAACCTATCAGGGAAAAAAATTAAACTTTTCTTTCCATGAAAAAAAATTAGCAGGACAATCAAGCTTTTCATTCCCGAAAAAAATTGCCACAAGAAGAGCCCATATTGATGCAGTTCAAATTGTGATACGATTTATATACGCATTACTGGGTGGCAGTTTGCGGGTTGTAATTTTTGTTCTCCACTTTCAGTTCCTTGTGGAACTCTAATGATATCCATACTTTTTGTTTCTGCTCACGTGCTTATACGATCATTTTAAACCTTGATTTATTTTTCAAAGTGTAATTCTTGTCTGCTGGCAGGGGCCAAAAACTATTCTTTGCAACTCAAGGAGATAAAAGTTGGTCTGGAATTTGACTTGATATGCAAAGTATGTTTCAATTTATCTGTAATTTATCTCTCTTCACCTAAAATGTTTGCCAGCAGTTTGACAGTTAACTTTTCTTTCCCGAACATTATATCTGGACATTTTCTCAGAGAAAAAAAACTCGAATCTAATCCCCGAGTGGGACATTGTTTAATATAATGTCTTCTGCTGGGTTTTGTTGAAGGTCCTTCATGTGTGTGAAATTGGTGAGGATTCATGGATGCTTTTTGTATGGGATGGAACTGATTGCCCTCCTATGGCAATTCAGACAGAGTTAAGTATCTTTTTAGTTCAAATGTTACATTTTTGATTTATAATTGAACCGATTTGTATTGATATCTTTTCTTGATTGTTTGCTGGCTGTGTGCATGATGCCATTCAGATGCTTTAGGTGATTTGGCCATTACTGCTTGTTGATCGGTTTATTAATAAAAAAATTCTTCGGTGACAACTTTCTTACCATTCGATCTTGTCATATCTGATCTGCGAACTCATCTGTAATTTGAAGGCTAACCTGATTATGCTTGGCCTTTTGAAAAATATCTCTAATTTTTTAGTAGCATTCTAAACTAACTCTGTTTTATAATAGAAAAGGATGTCTAATTTCTGATGCACCACAGCCTAGACTCCGAAGTAGAACAGCCCACCCCCTTACAGCTGGAGTCCTCATCACTGCCTGTAGATGTGCTGCGGTTATTTCCTCATGTGGGTAGTGTGCTGAGAATAACAGCGGGGAAGTCTTTCAAGGAGGTCCGGCAGTTGGTTTTCGGCAGCCATTGGTTTAAATTTCGCAAGATAACCTGCGCGAACCAGTCAGGAGTATGGAAGGGCATGCTGCAGAGCTTGAGCAAAGTCTCCCTTCTGTCTGATGAGGATGAATCTGTGCTACTTCGGGAAAGGTATTTCTTTTGTTCATACATGGACATTCAACATAAGAGCATCTCATTCAAGAAAAACAACCTAGGAGGACAATCAAAACTTATTAGCCCATATGCTCATTTTTTATTTTCTCAATTTTTTATTGTCATTTATTTATATAAACGACCTATTGCAATCAATCTGTGCCCTTTCAAAATAGGAACTACAATGAACGGATCACGTCTGATCTGCTGCGTCGACCTATGTCTTGCTTTCCGCGGCCTTCTTGTGTCACAGGTAACTAGTCTGGGGGTGATTGGACATTTCTTCCTTTTCAATTTTGTGTCATAGTGATGGCTCATCAGTGATTATTACCTAATATGGGTTCGATCGGGCTTAGCTAAAAGGGAAATTGTGTGGGTTTCATATTTGAATGAAATTATTTCTGGTGGAGTTCGTTCCATCTTTTTGCCAAAAAAAGAAACAGTGAGGCTTCTGATCTAGGTTTGGCCGGCCCTGCATTCCCCCTTCCCCATTAGGAATCAAGGGTGGGCGATGGAGAAATCAGTGGGAAAAACAGAGAAAGAATCAGCCTTCCCGCTTGGAATTGACAGAAACCCATGAACAGGAAAATATAGAATATATAGACAGATAAATCTGTCTTTTTTTTACTAGTTTATATATATATATATATTTCGATATTAATCAGATTTCTATAACGGTCAAAAAATTGACCGTTCTCCTTTGTTTTCTCTCTCTATCACATCAGATCAGAAAACTTGCTTTCGATAATTCTGCTCGTCGCTGCTGACACATCTGCCTATCTTTTCGATCTTCTTTGGCATTCTAGAGACGGATTACTCTCATCTGGTGGATGCAACTCTTATGGATTCTCTCACACATCCAGAGGTTTCTCTTTCTTTCGTCCACCCTCCATATATATAGCATTGAAACTCCTGGGCACCACACGCTTTCATAATTTGGCATGGCATGATTTGTTCTTGATTCCAAGGTTGAGCACATCACTCTGCTGCTGCTGCTGCTTTAGGTGACGCACAAGTGTAAGTGTGTGGTGCGCGTTGTGGCCGCCTGCCCTTGGCGGGCTGAGAACTTGCTCTCCTCGAGCCGAGGACAGTACAGGCTCAGACTGACCCTGGAGGACCCGACGGCGAGGATCCACGCCTACATCTGTGAAGAAGATGGGGTCAGTGAACTCATCTCATCTCCCAATAAAATCACTCATTTTCTGGTCACGATCCTTCTTTAGAAACCCACCCATTTATAGCCGAATCATCGCCTTTTATGGGTTGTAATGTTTATTTTTCTGATCATCATTCTCTATGAACAGCTAGCTATGACTTTATTCGAATAGATGCAATATTTGTTGCCATATGATCGTCAGAAGGCCCTTAGGATCATCAAATTACTACCCAGAAAAGCAATTATCCGAATTTATTGAAATGCTGTTGATCTTCATGACTGGAGTTCTTGCGTTCAATCCGGAAGGGTTTTTTTTTTTTTTTTTTGCCCATTTCTCATCATCATCATGGTCATCAGTCACTTTCGACAATTATCCAAAATTTCAGCCGAATTGATTGTTAGTGCCCTTCTGATCATCAGATTACTACCCATTAAAGCAATTATCCGAAGCTTCAGGCGAATTAATTATGATCATCGAAAATAACAATTATCCGAATTTTCAGTTGAATTAACTGTTATTGCGTGCCTTATTATGATCATCGAATTGTTTCCCATAAAAGCAATTATCCGAATTAATTGCTAGTTGAATCAGTTGCTTGTGAGTGCCCCTGTGATCCTCGTCGACTGTGGTTCACACAAACAGGTGAAGTTCTTCGGGGACGATCCCTCGATCGAGGATCTGGAGAGGAAGATGAGCAGGCTCCTTGGGATATCCAGAGAAGTCGGCTCCGCAGATCTTGGACAAGGTCAACCCGCCACCCCGCGGGACCCACCGTGGGTGAGTGTGTGCTTGAAATCCTACTGCCTTGACTTTGACCGGCCCTGGGAGAGCAGGAAATACAGGATCTTCGGCACGAGGCTGCTGGACTGAGGAGGATGAGATTACCCGCCAGTGAAGATAAACACGGGATTTTGGGTGAGGCTAGAAGAAGCGGAGGACCAGATCCCCCCAAATCCTTTTCCCAATATGGTCCTTTTTTGTTGGTATTTAATGGGAATGCATTTAATGTATATATTTATTTTGTCCGTCAAGTAAAGTGGTCTAGATCCGGGGCCCGGGCCCAAAAGAAAGCCCGAAGAGGGAGTAGTAGAAGCAAGATTTGATAAGCTTGTTGGGCCCGTTTTTTGACGCCCGATCCTTGTAAAATAGGCCCGGTCCGCTGTATTGTCCAGACACATGCCGCTGGACAGGTGGCACGCTGATGGCGGGCGGTGCTTTCGGGCCGGGCTTGAGGCTTTTAACGGTTGATTCCCCTCCAAATATGTTGAATTGCCTAGGGGCCCCCTCCATTAGGTTAAACACGACGATTTTCCCCTATGACTATTTTGCCCTCAGAAGAGGTGCCCTCGACCACCACGTAATTCAGTGTTAGTTGGGCCGTACCAGCCCTTGGGCCACGTGTCAATAATGGGCCCCATATCTGAATGTGTGCCTCATATATTGCGGGCCGAGCCGACTTTGATCCCTCTGGGCCGGGTCATGAAAGGTCCTCTCTTTAATGCATTCTAAAAGTGGGGGAATATCTACGTTATCACCCCCCTCATCACCTCCTAATCACCGTGCGATTGAACTCCTTTCTTCGATCTCAGCCGTCCGTTTTATCAACTTCCCTTTCCCCACCACAATTAGGCTAGAGTTTCATCTTCTCTCTCTTCCTCTCTCTCTCTCTCTCTCTCTCTCTCTCTCTGTTTTTCTCTGTAGCTAGGGTTTTTGGGGATTCTTGCCCTCGCCGGAACGGAAACGAGCGATGCAGTAGCCGCTGTCGCCGCCGCTGTCGATCGTCTGCGGCCGTCGATCGTCTGCGACCGCCGGTGGTGGTGGAGGAGCAGCGCCGGGTGGGGGGGATCATGGATCTGAATCTGTACCTGGGGATGCCCTCCTCCGCCCCGCGCCTCCGCAGGCTCGACCTTGGATCCGACCTCGCCCTCGGTTCTCCAGGGAGCTCCCCTCCTCCCTTCTCCGGCTCCTCCGTCTCTCTCCGTTCTTCCTTCACGGACCTCCCAGTGGCGCCGCCACCGCTTCAGCCGCCCTTTCCCCAACCTCCGCACGCTGCTCCCTCTTGCTCCTCGCTAGTCAATCCCCCGCAGAATCGCCTCTGCCCTCTCTCCACCTTGGTCGACCATCCGATCCGAGGATATTCCCCCTACTCGTACCATCCCCTCGCTTCTCCTTACTCCACCTTCCCGGCGGCGCCGCCGTTGCCGCCCCCGCCGTCGTATCCCTCGTCCTTCTCTCGGATTTTCCACCCCGATGACGATTCTGATTTGGGTTCTGTCCGAGGCGCCGCCGGCATCTCTCTTCATCCTCTGTACGACCCGCTGTTCCCCTTCGGGCCTGGGGAGGAGCCCATGGCCGCCGGAGGAGGAGGCAGCGCCGGCGAGGACCACGAGGATGTCGCCTTCAGCTCCTGGGGCATAGTCGTGGGCGCGGCTCCGGAGGCCTCCTCCCGCCGCGGCTTCCTCCACCCGGAATTCCATCTTCGGCGTCTGATCGCCCTGCAGCAGCATGAAAGAGATTATCTGCCGCCGGGTTCTTCTCCGGTCATGGAGGACGCCCCAGAGCCGCTCCACCGCGAACCATCCAGCTCCGAAGCTTCAGCCGAGATTTCCGGCAAGAACAAGGCGAGCGACGAAGCTCTCCCCGACGAGGGCCTGGAAGAGGAGGACGACGATGGAGATGGTGCTGCCAGCGCCCTGAACTTCGAGTGCAACATCTGCTTGGAGCTCGCCAAGGAGCCCGTCGTCACCCCCTGCGGCCACCTCTTCTGCTGGCCCTGCATGTACCAGTGGCTCCACCTCCACTGCCACTACAACGAGTGCCCTGTGTGCAAAGGAGATATCAGAGAGTCCACCCTGGTTCCCATCTACGGAAGGGGGAGCTCCGGGAGCAGGACGGAGGAGGTGGAGGATGGAGATTCGGGGCTGAAGATCCCCCCCAGGCCCCATGGCCACCGGTCGGAGAGCTGGAGGCAGAGACTGCAGAGACCCGTGTCGAGGAGATTCAGCGCAGAGATTGCAAATTCATGGCGGCAGATTCTTGGTGAGGATGTGCAGATTGGGAGTGTGATCGACGGGGAAGGGGATCCGAGCTTGCCGCAGGTCGTGGGAGCAGGGAGGAGTGCAGTGATGGCAGCGCCCAGATCATCCGGGCTGGCCGAAGGGGAGAATGCTGATATCTCGGTGCCGCTGATAAATTTCCCACATACGCAGGGTGATAATTTTGACGGCATCTGGGCAAGAATCTCTTTTAACAGGGTTGATCAGAGCGGCGGCCTAGCTGCAAGAGCTGCCGCCGCCGCCACTGCTGGGGTCTCGAGGGTGTTGACCACCACCGATGGCAGCAGCAATGCCCGGCATCGCACTGGTCCATCTCTGAGGCCTTCCTTTGTCGCGCCAAGCCAAGCGCAAGCTACTGGCCAGGCCTCTGCTTCAAGCACCATGGCTGTGATTCATGAAGATGCTGCATTCCTAGACATGGTGGCGGAGCCGAACAGTGCCGGACCCTCCCGGTCCTCTTCCAGAGTGAGAGGGCGTAGCAGCAGTGGTGGTTCTCTACAGGGTGATGGATGCCCATTACATGCATGCAAGAGGAGGAGGTTGAATTGATAAGTGGTGGTGAGAGACTCCCCAGCATGTAGCCAAGTCAGCTCCTGGGTCCGCTCTGATGCCATGGGCTCCTGTGTTTAATTCGTTTCTTCTGTAGGGTTTAATCCGAGCAGGCGAGGCAAAACGGGCAACATGGAGGCATCACCATGACTGCAGTATTTCCATGGCAGGTTGAGATTTCTTCCACCCCGCCACCCCACCCACCCTTTTCATCAGAATTGAGATTTCTTGGGCCCGGAGTAAAAGGGCACGCCTTTTTTGCTGGAGCATCTCTCTCTCTCTCTCTACCTTTCTCTCACATGATGGACTGAACCTGTGGAAATGATGGCGGAGTTGATGCCCGGGCCACCCATGAGTGTGCTCTTGATTAATCTGTCCGCTCCATTGGTGTCTGAGGAGAAGCTACTGGGCCGGCGGCTGTTCTTGAGGTTCTTGGAGGAGGAAACCAGCAGGGTTTTGATGAGGATCTGGAGTGCTTGCGGAGAACGTTCTGACCTCCACATTCTTCTTCGGTTTTCTCATGGATTTAATGCGAGAATATCTGGAACGTTGGAAGAAGAAGAAGAAGAAGAAGAGTGGGCCACGCGCTGGTTCTGCGGTTCAGATGGATGATGTTCACTAGGAGGACGACTGCAACCTGAGCCCTCCCCTCCCCTCTTCCCCCTGATGAGTCTAATGTAGAATCAATCGTTCTCTCTCTCTCTCTCTCTCTCTCTCATTGTTTTGTTCTCTCTCTGAAGACAGGAATCCGAGATGACCCATCATGGAAAGTGGACCATCTTCTGTACCTTCGATTTTGTGCTGGACTCTGGTGGCTAGTGTTAATGGCTGACTTCTGACTCTACACAGTCGATTGTTCCCTCTCATCGGTGTGATCCATCCTCTCTCTCGCACACACACTGGAGAACGGAGCAACCTATACTGCCCAGAAATGCAATAATAATCCTGTCTCACTGTCCTCTTCTCTCCTGTCTCTGTCTCTGTCTCTCTGTCTCTCTCTCCTCTTTTCTTCTCTTCTCTCTCTGGAGAAAGGAGCAACCAATGATCCATGTATGGCAGGGGAGCTTCCCATTGGGATCAATTCACCTTGACGAATTTGTGTATGGCAAGAATATTCCCTTCCCTCTTCGGATGACGACGTAGAAGAGTACGACGATCAACACAGCTTGATGAGCATTGAAGAAACGGAGGGATCTCAGGCCTCATCGACCCCCCCCTCTGCAAGGGGCGGCGGCGGGCAGGGTCTCCGGCCAGCCGATATACACTTACAGCCATATTTACAGGTGGGTCCGCCCAGAAATGTCTCTGTACATGGCCGGAATATTCCATTCCCTCTGGCTTCCGGTGATGATGACCAACACACCTAGATGAGAAGTGAAGAGACGGAGGGATCTCAGACCTCATCAGCCACCCCTTTCACAGACATTTACAGCCATATTTACAGGGTTCGGCGAGGAATATCTGTACATGGCCGGAATATTCCATTCCCTCTGGCCTTTGATGATGGCGAAAAAGAAGATGAAGATGGGTTTCAGAGGCGGACCTCGACGATGTCGCCGTCCTTGAGCTCCGTGTGGGGAAGGGCAAGCTGGCCGTTGACGCAGACGAGGCGGCCCTCGAGGCCGATCCGGCGGGCAGCGTCGGCGGCGGTGCTGCCGGAGCGCATACGCATGATCCAGCCGTGGGGCCAGCAGATGATCACCACCTCGTCGAGGACGACGGGGCTGCGGGCCCCACTCTTGGGGCCCACACCGGGCTTCCTCACCCGGAGGTAGGCCTCGTGCCTCACCTGTTCTTCCCACTGCAGCATCGTCCTCAGCAGCTGCACCTGCAAAAGGACTCAGAAAATCGGAGAAGCTCGATCAGAGGTTGACTTTTTTTGATCTATCACAAGTGCTGAAACCTTGACCCAGATCTCTAATCTCCAAACCCTCATAAACCAAAGTTTGACGTTTTTTTTGGGTCGAGGTTGAGCGTTGACATGAAAGATGAAAGCACACAACTAAACATAGCTCGGTGCTTAATTGGGCATCGATGGGACGGACATGCCCAGAGAGGTCTGGATGCCTGCAGTTTTCATTATCCAAAAAAGAAAAGAAGAGTTGACCTTGCGGAAGAAAATCAGGAAGAAAGTAGACGAAACTCGTCTCACCTTGTTGTTGATACCCAATTCAACTGAAGACGGGAAATTAGAGGGGGAGAAGCTTTGCTTCTCGTTGACATTGGGATTGCTCTGGATGGAGGCGACTTCTTTGCCTTCAAAGACCGCAGAGACGACCGTCCAGTACTCGGCTTCCTCCTGCTCGGTCAGATCTATCACTTGAATGAAGGTGGGCAGCAGGCGCTGGAACTGATCTTGCTGCAAATCCCACTAGTTTCCATTATTGGCCATCCACGATACAAGAACAAGGGCAAATAAAAGAGCGATTCAAGTTTCGTTTCATGCAATCTTTCTGGGGAGTAACTTAGCAGATGATTAGATTAGATTAGATTAGATGCCAGTCAACGAATAAAATGGCGGTGCTTTTGGTGTTCTTGTTCTGATTTGTATCCTAGATTGACTGAGGGGAGTGAATCCTCGTGGACTCTTCATTTTCTAAGTATAGATGCTGTCAAGAGTGAGAATCCATGATCATCAATCAAGCAGCCTGAAGAAGAAATTGATCCACTTTATGTTGTGCGTAGAGAGTTTATGGAATGGAAAAGCGAAGAGTTTCATTAGCTATTTTAGGAAAAAAAAGTATTAAAGTAAATGAATACTATGAAAAATAATCTATTTCATGGGGGGGGGGAGGGGGGGGGACAGTAAGAGAATTAAAGCCAAAAAACAAAAAACAGGGTTCTTCCATACCTTGTGGTACATCCCATCACGGCACAACGTGTACTTCTCTAGACAGGTGGACCAGTCACCATGCCCTGGAGCAGACCACCACTTGTCCGAAACCTGGAGGCCAGTGCGAAAGTATCTGGTTAATGGCTCTTTCCTATATATAGCAAAGAGAAGAGAGAGAGAGAGAGAGAGAGAGAGAGAGAGAGAGAGAGAGAGAGAGAGAGAGAGAGAGAGAGAGAGAAGAGAAGAGAACAGGGCCAAGACTATGCGAGACTAGGGCCTACATGGCCCATTAGTACAAAACGAATCAATCTTTGTAGGGAATTTGTTTAATATTTCACGAAAAAGGTATCAAAGAATGTTCGGTCCTCTAAAGTTGATCAATCAATGGATAATCACAGAGTCTTCATTAAATGAAGACGTCCTTTTCACAAAAGTAGAGCACAAATGGCCGTCAGTCAGCCACGCAGATTTTTCTGATTCATAATAGAAGATTTTCATAGGCTTTGATTCTTGATTGAGCTACAGAGTCCACGGTATGAAGACGGATATCAATGATATAAGGCAATTCGAAGAATGTAGAGCTATGGTTGTCTTTCAATACTCTGTTGTCTCCAAACGACTCATATGGGTAGGTAAACTAAGAACTGAATTCCAATGACAAATCAAACCGATCCAAAAATAGAAAGAAACAACCATAGCTCTGACCTTCTTGAACAGCTTTGCATATGCTTCCCAATGCTTCATCTGAGAGGAGTATCTCCTGTCAGCCAAGGCCTCAGATGCTTCTAGCTCAAAATTCACAGCAACAAGTAAATCTCTCCCTCTCTGATCAATCCTGGAAAATGAACATTGACGGTGAATAAGAATGGTGCAATTGACGATGCTTGTTTTGAAATTTGCAAATTGTTCTTCACCTTAGAATGACAGCTCCAAGCAATTGGCTGCCCTCTACGCGAAGGACCGGATGGCCCACTCTCAGGAACCCATGCTTTGGATGAACTTCCTGAGAGCCAGTCTCCTCTTCAAGATCTTTAGGTTCATATGACGATGAATCGACCTTTGAATCGGGGACATTGCTTGCATATCCGACCTTACTATCAGATTCCTTATATAACCAATGGGCAGCAAGTCCAGATTCAGCATACTCATGCATCCGCTGTCAATGATGAGAATGTTATTGATTTCAGTTTAATCTAAGGCTAGAATCGAAAACTAGAAGGTTTCTGTAGACTTGAGCAACAGGGATATGATTTATGTCACACCTGTGTTCTTATTTGCACCTCCAACGGCGCACTATCAGGACCTTGCACCGCGGTATGAAGAGACTGAAAAGGGGAATAAATTATGAGAAATTCAACCGCCAGTTTTTTTGTCTTAGTTTCTTTTATGATGGAGGGAATTTTCTGGACATGGAGGAAGAGTAGGTTGGATGGGAAGAGAAAAGAATGCTTGAAATGGTTAGATTCTTCATGCTCTGCACAAACAGATGAGGCAAAGTAGAACGTATGCGAATCAATATTTATCGATATCTACTGCCATGTACCATCCGAGATGCTAGTTATTACATCAGATAACCACTTACCTGATAACCACTCGGCTTAGGATTGACAATGTAATCATCAAACTCACCGTCGACAGGTGTCCAGAGCCTGGAAAATGTTCACGAAAGAGACATATGCGGTCACCATACAGGACACTGGTGAAGATAATTTACAGAAATATTGCCTAAATGCTAAATCTAGAAAGCTTCAAAGAAAGAAACTAAAGACTGAAGAAATCAAAGACAGCAAGTGAATTACAACATAGGAGGTCCCGTGATTGCAAGACAAGGAAATGGACAGGACCACTGACGTGAAAAGGAAGGAGATAAGTGAAATTGACACTGGGCCAAAGCCCCTTTTGTTCTCAGCCCAGGCACCAGGCAACAGCGCTCCTCACCATTGTCACCCCATGTGCATGTATGTCTATGGCCTGAGTACACTGAGAGTGTGTGGAGCAAGAACGTGATTCTGGGGTGTCATGGAAAAAGCCCAAGCAGAGCTCACTTATAAGCAAACGATGTCTGCAGTAACCTCCTTGACAGCTGAGGACATTCATTGGATAAGTTGATCGATACTAATTATGCACTTGATCAAATCTCGCAAAGAGATTACTTCTCTATGTTAAAGGAATTTCAAGGCGGTTCTTCGACGGGGGTACAGGAAACTATAGCATGTATGGACCCATTCAGCATCGGTCTCCTCTCCACAAAAAGAGGAAATGAAGGGTTTGCATCTCTCATGCATGATTCTTGGGTTGGGGCATAACGCAAGGAGGTGGAAATTCTCAGGGTAGTGACACCTACAGTGACCCCTGAGCAGACAGTATCGTGTCCTTTAGACAAAGAGAAACAACAGTTGATGTGCTCCGTTACCTGTGTACAATATCAAGGAGACTGTAGCAGCTCTTAATAGCTGGTCCATGTAGCCTCCCGTTCTTATCCCCAACCACCACACGCAGCGCCCGGGCATCATATACTTCCCTTATACTTATGCCTTTTCTTTTCATCTACTCAAAAAGGAATGAATCAATGACTCGTTGCATTACTTGGGTTAATAATAAAATCAATTTTTTTCTGTATAATTATATGGAAACTATTAAAAGTTCGGATGCTGAATATTTGGAGATTTGTTCAACGATGTGATTCAAATATGAAATAGAACAATTGTACAGAAACATAACATCCTAGAAAGCAATTCCATACAGAGTCTCTTGGATTCAAACTACATTTCCGGAAATAAATATATGACTACTCATAAAAATCAGTCCATTATGGGTTGTCAAGGAGTCATTTCATACAGAATGCGGTGTTCATTAAATCCATTTGTTACTATAGATTGCCCCTGTTGTAGGAAAAGAAACAATTTCATTCATAGCATGACATTTTCAGCACGGCTAAAATAAAACAGATTTAATGGTTCATCTGAATATTTTCTCGCGGTAATCCTCTGGAACTTTGTCAAGATATCTCAGAAGAACCCTCCCAAGAGAGGCTGTGGCAATGGACTCCGTTGTACAGGATGAAGCCCCTGAAAGTCCTGGCTGCGTGCTGGATTAGGACATACCTCTGTTCCCCAGGAATGAGGAGACAATAAGGTCCAACTGGGAGGACTTCCGCATGAGATTTGAGAAAAAAACTCTTCATACGGAGGCTGACAAGATGACTTTCATGTGAAGAACATACTACGAGTACCCATCAAATTAAATAGCTAAAAGAAGGCCAGTCATAATCAGCCAATGTCAGTCTAATCGACTAATTCCGGGCTGAGATTGAAGTTTCAAAAGTTGATAAAGAGAAAGAACAGAAATGGAAGAAGAAGAATAAGAAGAAAATAACAAGGGGAGGCTGAAGGCTACAGCAGATAGAAGAAGAGGAGAGAAAAGGCATGACATAGAAAGTGGGAAACCTCTCCCTCCATCTTTCCTGCTTTTGCTTCCTCCTTTTCCCTTCTCTCTGAAGCCGCCAGATAGCAGATGAGAAATGGACGAAAGTGAATGATATTAAGAGGAAGCTATTTTCTGGAAACTGAATCACAAATTATTTTTACTTTTATTTTATCATAAAGATATTCTTACATATAAGTTTGAAAATCGGTCATTACTTGTTTGTATTTTTGGAATTTTTGTAGCCAGAACAGCTGATTTGATTTGAATTTGCTGAAGAAGGCGAAGCAAACTGGATCAATATCAGGTGCTAGTGATCGGAGATTTGATACCAATAAGTGATCCTTAAATATGACCAAAGAACATTTCAGCAAGCAAAGTGTCCAAAACTCGTAAGCTGTATAGAAGAGATAATAACCCATCTCCAGGAAACAGGAAAAAATCTTCCCACTGCTGGGAACATTACTATCGGCTCAGCTTTTCTGCTTTATACCATAGCGATGGCTTTTAAAATTCAATGTTCAAGTTCAAAATAATAACTACACAAGGCTTGAGTTTTTCTGTTACATGTTAATGCTGTATCTTTTGCTATTCATTAATGCCACTTGTAAAACATATCATCTTACCAGCAAGCAAAACTTTTTGCAAGGCCATACCAATAAGAGAGGGAACCAAGATCTTTGGACAGCTACAAAGAACATGGCGAGAATTTCTAAAACCTAATATGAAGTGGGGCTTGTAATACCTTGCAATAGATGCTGTATAAGCTTTTCAATCGACTTGACAATGTTACTTCCATTCCCGGAATGTAACTGCAGAGAAAGGCAAAATTCAAGCAGCCACAATCAGCTGCAGAACAGGAGTAAAAATTCTCACAGAAATGATAAAGACTGTCTTCTACTCGTTAAAAAAATAAATAAATTTTTTGGAGGACATCATCTGAATCCCAACCCACAATACGCAAAAAGGTCATTGATGGAAATGTGCTTTTAAATAAACGACCAGTAGAACATAAAGATGCATTATCATGAACTTTCACAAAAGGTTTCTATCTAGAACTAACAAAAAAAGATTAAGTGTTGTGGGACATACGAAGTTGATATGAAAAGTTCTTGTTGAAGTGCTTCCTCACATAGTACTAAAGATGACAATGCAACTCCAGCATCATTTACAACCTTATGGCTAATATTAGAAACATCAGAATCTGTTCTGAGATTATTGAGAAAACACATTCGCTTCCTTCTATCCATAAACAGATCAAATGGTAGTACTGCCTGCAAAAGATTCTGTGCACAGGAATAACTGAAACAAATCAATGACAGTGAATAATAATTCAATTTAAAACATGCGGAGGTTAATAAAAATGATATGGCATCTCCTGAACCAGAAGTATACATGATATGTTAGAAACAAACATTATACAGGATTTATGACTTTTAGGGACTTACCTATAGGTTGAATCCTCACGAAACTTTATTTTAAATGATTATCTCAACCTAAAAACCTATACACTTTCAAACAATGATTCACATTGGAACCTAATTCTTACAGGTCAAAGTACAACTACATTGGGACATAACTAAAATTTCACATCAGATCACAAAATATGAGGAGGATGCTTTCATGTAAGCTCATTATATTTTTCTAAGCGGCATATAACTTCTTTAAAAAGACATAATTCGACAACACAAGAAAACCCCTCTGACATGCATTCTCCTTCCCAATATGCAGTAAGTTATCAAGATGTACAAAATAAACTCTAAAGTTTGCAATGGTGATTTTTTTTATACGCACTAAATATGATTGATATTGCTAACTTGTCCTGCAAGGTATCTAATGACAATAAAACACCGAAAGGGTTATGATAGTTTTATCTCCAGATCTACAGAACATTCGAGCTTTGAGTTTTATCGAGTGGCAGAAACATACTAAACCAATCCATTTCAGCATTTTCAAAGCACAAAATTGTCCATCACATGACCAAGTATTCCTTGGTCGGTCAGGGTACATATATACATATCCTAGATAACTGGAAAGCAATTACCATCTACAACTGCAGCTCCTTGTCTAAAGCATAACTGAAGAAAGTTTTCACGAACATGACATAGAAAGGTTACCCTGAATCAAAGGTCCGAAAAACATTATGCTACAAAATGCACCATTCTTCTCTCAACAGGCTTTACCTCTCCTATAATCATGAAATTTCCACAAATTCTGAAACCTAAATAATATTGGCTAAGATTCTTCAGTAATCGAAAATTCTCAATAAAATGCTCTCATCTCCAAATTCCATGACCAATTCTAGATAACTTTGATAGCACTTACAGGTGCAATCAAGCCTAATCAGATCGGTATCAGAAACTCAATCTCACCTTGATTCACATAATTCCTCCTTGAGATGAAAGGTTGCCTAAATCACTTGATTTTGGCTTATGTTTGAATGCTTCCACCGGTGTCAAAACGGACAACAAAACCAAACACACACGAGATGATAGTTTTTTGTGTGCCTGACAACTGCACTAGAATCCCCATTAGAATTTGATCATGTAATCCGGAATTTAGTTATACAGGTTCATTGATTATCTAATCACACCATTCCAACTAAAAGCGATGCTAAAACAAACGACTGTGTTGTGTACAAAAACGACAAAGAGCGATAAACGTCAAATTATGCAGATTATGTAAGCGAAGTAATTTTAGGCTAATATACACGCATAATTTTTATCTGATTAACACTAAAATGTTAAGATATTTCTAGCTCTAAAAAATTAGTCCACACTTATTACTTGATTGAAAATATAGAAATCAATCCTCTGTCCATGTTCATGAACGGTTTTATGAGCCAACGATTTTCCCGGGTCTACAAATCATGTTTATCCTTGAAAGAACTTTAGAAAGAAAAGACATGAAGTGTCTCAAACTAAAAGCAAATAAATAAGTTTTAACCAGTCTATACCCTTATGTTTTCCATATCTTCAACCAAAGACATAGAACCTTTGTAGTCATTGAGTGGTAAGAGAATCCCAGGCTTTGCAGATATTCTTCTCGGATTTCTAGTCTTAGAGTCAGAACTCCACATTGAAGCAAGTTCAGATCGGATTTGCTGAAACGTATCTGGCTGCAAAACAGAATAATTTGTTAACTTTCTCAAGTTCAATGCTGTCAGTATTAGCTTACCAAAACATGAAAACCGATATAAAAATATGGGAAAAAGAAAGAACAATTCAACCCAGATGATCAACAAGAGGAAAGATGCACTCGTGTTTAACAGAGATAATTTTCATCCCACATCATTCAAAGGCACCATGATCAAATCTGGGTATACAGTGAAATGAGGAAAAACGATGTGATGGAGAATTTCAAGGCTGAATACAAAACATTTAGTGTAACAGAAGAAACATTTCAATGATCTTATATTTCCGAACTCAAATTGAAAAGATCTTCACCAGAAAGTTGATCTACTATGCACACTGGAGGAAAATAAATTAATAAATCTAGAGTGTGTACCTGAAGAACAGCAAAGCATAGATCCTCAAGTTCCGCTTTCAAGGCCCAAACACCCAGCCTAGATGCAAGTGAACACCATACAGACAATGTCTCCTGTGCAACAGCTTGTGCCTTAGGTAGTGGCAAAGCATAACTGGAAAAGAGAACAAAAATGATTAAGAAAGCGTTGTTAACATGTATAGTAGGATTTCTGAAAAAGCTCTGAAAGACAATATTACACAGCATGGAACACCGAAACGATATGCATGAATTGAGCATTATGGAACAATATCATATTATTTTTTCAGCATGCCGGCAATCAGAATATTCATAGTCAGACTGGGTATCACATTTCAAAAATCAAATGGTTCTAGTCAAGCATCATATTTCTTGATAAGGTTGGGTGTCCAACACAATTTCACTCGAATAAGATTGGAAGTCTGAGATGACGAACGATAGATGTGTCGCCCTCAATCAAGCAGTAATGCTGACAAATAATAGTTGATTAGAGTCTAAAACAATTTAGTGTCTAAAACAATATTTTGCACAAAGCTTGACATCATAGCATCACAAAGGAAATATAAAATGGAATGTGAAGAGCAAGCATTCTAGGAAATACACCCTCTCCCTAATTGATGAAGATTGGCACTACACAGGGATTAGCCACAGGAATAACATTTTGACGCAGAAACGTCCGGACTAACAATTGATAGAGCACAGTTTGCCACAAGATTGGAATATCCAGATCTAGATGATGATTGATCCCTCTGATAAAATTGACAGAGTGAGGGGGAAGGGGAGGAACCGTTTATAATAGCAAAGTATCATTCAAATAACTCTAAAAAACCAATAAAACCCTATAAACCATGAAGAAAAGGTCATGCATTCAAATCCTCCACATTATCCCCATTTTTAAAGCACTGTCCTGTGCGGAACTATGTAACTGAGGCAGATGTGAGCACCACAATCAAGTGCAGATGAAACATATTGTCATTTCAAGTATAATACAAAACAATTGCCTGAGATTAAGACTAAGATTAACACAAAGTTATAATCATAAAATAGGCTCCCAGAAAAAATCAAGGGCATATTTTCGAAATCAACAAAGAGGCAGGATCTTTGAGTAATTCTATACTATGAGACTTTGAACAAAACTAATGAAATTAAATAAGACGACCAATGCATTTGGATGACAGAGGTAAAAAAAGGTAGCAGTCTTACATTGTTCTCATGTTATGAAGCCGATCTGCAAGTTTGATAAGAACCACACGAGGGTCATCAACCATTCCCAGCAGCATAGCTCTCAGTTTATTTGCCTAAAACATCACCAGAAGGTAAACATTTAATCCTAGAATCCAGATAGCCAAATAAGGTGTTTACTTTTTGAGAATGAACAATCTTTTAGGACACAAATTAACAATGAATTGCAAAAGTCAGGGATAGTTGTTGGAAGAAGGTTCAGAAACCCATAGAAAATCCAATCAAACGGGTATCCAAATCGTGCCGGATTGACCATATCGGCCATTCTGAGGAAAGATAATTTGGGTAAAAATAAAGAAAAGCATATATTTCAAAATTTTAAAGCAAAGGGGAGAAAGTAAAATTGGAGAGTAACTGAAGGCTTTTATATAAATTGCTAAGCTCCGTTTCTACCCCTCTGCCTGTTTTCTAACTGAGGGAGGGTGGCATGCAGAGCAGAGATATGGGTGGCAGGCCCGCTGCTGTAGAGGCCATTGGTGACAAAGCTAAGCAATTGGCCCTGACTAGCTCCAGGTGACTTTCTTTTTTTTTTCTTTTTTTTCTTTCCTTCTTTCTCTCTTATTTCTTCCCTCTCCTGCATTATCTGCCAGCAAATGATATTTCCACATTCTTCCTGCATTAATAACACTACTGGAGGAAACTGGCTAATCCCAGTGAAATAGGGACAAATCAGCTGCAAAATAGGCCACTTCCATGCCTATTCAAGATCAGGCAGGGCGGCTAATTTACAATCAGAATCGGCCAAGTATCCTATTGCAAAACTATGACCATCGGTCAGGAAAGGAAACGAAAGAAACTGGTGTTATGGTTACTTATGTCCTCCGGTTTTCATAAACCTTGAATATGAAATGATGAATATAGCAGTAGCCCAAATGGTAAGCCTCTGAAGGTTTGGTATCTTGCATTCCTCAAAACCATACTATTGATAACCTTCAATAGTTCTTCAATTATCCAAAGGTGAAAAACCATTGTTAAACGTCTCCTACTGAATGAGTGGGGTTCCATCACAAAGGCTAAAAGATATGTAGCATATGAGTCAAGATAATCCGTTCAACAGAGTGTCATGAAACCTTTGATTTCTAAAGTAATATAGAGAAATCATTATCAGCAGATAAGAAAATATAGAAACTTTCATTTGAGTAAACAAAAAAGCATATATTTTCTCCAGGAATTGGATGGGTACTAGGAACATACCTCTTCAGATGTAAGATCACTTTGGTTAATGGATTTTCTGCGATGTCTTCGAAGTAGCTGCAACAGATGGAAACGAAGTCATAAACAGTAATAAAAATTAATATAAAGATCCCTAATAGACTCAAAGTGTTGATAAATACAAAGCCATAGGATTCCATAAATATTAACCTGGTAGCTCAGACACTTTGTTGAAGAAAGCCAACATTTCTTATCGGACGCTAAAACTAAAAACAATATATCAGATTATTATTAGACTAGTTTAAACCTTAACCTTGTTTTAAAATCCTTGGATATGTCAGATGATACTTCTTAATTACAACTTTACATCATGTCACAAAAGAATACCTACGTCTATTCCATCATTGGATGCCTCAAGATATTAAAATCTTCGTGTAACCAACGAAACAAGAAAGCTCAAGATCTAGCTATTAGCGGATAGTAAAGAACTCTTGTAAATATTTTAGTCTCACCTGATTTATGTAGCTAAGCTTTGAAACACCAGCAACTAAATTCCTCACATCAGTTCCAAATTCTTCCTCTATTCTATGAAGAGTTTCAAATGTATCATCAATTACATCATGCAGAATTCCTGCCACAACTGTGTTTACAGCCTGCATCAGGACATTTAGTATGGTGTCAAGTCAGTAAACATGGGAGCAATATCCACACCCACAATTCTCTAAATAAAAGAAAATTCATGCGAATATTCAAGGGTTCCACGACAAAAAATTCCACGGATATAAATCAAGTATCAAGTGAAGGATCACATACACGGTCCCCACTTGTTGGAACCAAGGCTGCTAAGATTTTTCCTGTATATATACAATGGGTTACATATGGTTCTCCTGTTTTTCTTAGTTGGCCATGGTGAGCTTTTCGTGCAAACTCAATAGCCTTGAGAACCTGTAATGACAAATTAAACACGTTTTTAATTGAAAGAAAACTATAAGAGCTTATTAAAAGGTACAGGGGAAATGGCGATTAAAAAGAAACCTTTGCATCATTGAAAATAGGGTATCCTGTCAATTCTACTCCATCAAGAACTATAGAATCTGCATTAACAAATACAAAACAATTGGAATGAAGTTTCTAATCAAAACCGGAATTAATGAAAAAAATAATATGAAAATGGATTATATATCATGAAAACATGCAGTCAACAAACACAAATAATTCAATTTTCAATTCGGAAAATATGCAGTAAAATAATGAGAAAAACCTGTCAAAGTTCATAATAACGTTATCACATCTAACTAAATTTCCATGGAAAGCTGAATATTTGAAATTCAAATCCATGGAAATCCGTCAAGGTTTCTTGTCTTTAGTCTTGCATTAAGTTTCCAGGTGAAACAATGAAACTAGGATAATCTAATGACAAGATTGGATATTAGGATCGTAATGACCTAGTCAGAGATGCAGTAAATAAAAATAATTTTCAGCAGCAAGGCTAAAGTGTTAAGGCGTTTTTATCTTCTTTAGCTACTAAAGCTTTTTCAATCCCTAATATGTCAAAAACCATAATGAAAATTGTAGAAGATATTAGAAGCTCCTAAGTTTGAAGGCAGAAGAGAAAGGTAAAAAGGACATTCATCTGCTGAATGTAGATTGCATATGTAAGAATATAAATACAAGGGATAGAAGGCTAAGATTGATACCTTAAATAAAGCTGTAGAACCAAATAACTACAGAGGTTTAATTATGAAAGTTTGCGGTGCACTAAATTCCAGTGTTTTTTTCCCAGACCATTCCTACTGTTCGTCCTATATAGACACATTCTAGAAACTTTCCAATACTATTTCGACTTTAATGCTCTGTCAGATTAAAAGGAGAACCATGAGATTTTGGAAATTCTGGAGAATTAATGACATCCAGATTTCATCTGGAAAACCAGATGTCAAGAGAAAAAAAGGTTAACCGACTGTGTGACATAGTAGAAGAGGGAGGACACCAATTTTTATTACTCGATCATAAACTGAAGAATTTTACAGCTTCGGCATGTTAATGTGGCCTTTGAGGCAAGAAAATTTTACACCAACTCATGTTGATGTGAGGCCGTAACCCAGAGAGAGTAACAACAATAATGCGGTCAAACACCAACCATTATTCTGGTTCGAATGAATAGGACCGTTCCTGAAGCTCAGAGCTCCGGAGGGAAACGAACAACTCATTTTGTGCAGTGGACAATGATGGATCCCTGGAAAATCCTCAGTGTAACAGGGTTGGAATTCACTGGTATAGCCTCTCTTGTTATGAGTTTACTGGTCAATCCCTATTCACAAGTTCGTCAGGCAAGCAACCGACCAGCAAACTTACGCAAGAGTCACTGAACATACAAACACTTGTTCCGCGCCCTCATCAAAAAGCTAGAAAATGCGCATGGAACTTAAAAACCTAATTCTTCTTCGTCCGGCATCTCGTTTTTCGGGAGAGTCAACAGCAGAGAGGCGGACAGGACAGAAGCATACTCGGCTGGTCCTCCCCTCTGGGCCACAGGAAGTCGACCTTGGTCGAGAGGCACGCCCCGGACGCAATCGCCACCGCCGTTACTGCCACGTGAGCTATCGCCTGAGCCACCGCTGAGTGCGCGGTCCCGCCGCCCCCGCCGCTCCCGGCCGCGGCGGCGATCGCGCCGCCACTGCTGACGGCGGCCGCCAGCCTGGGGGCCACCTGGTCGAGCAAGCAACGAAACCTGCCGGCGACGCGGCCGGAGCCCGCTGCCGCGCTCGGGAGGAGGGAGCAGAGGGAGGAGCCACTGCAGCATCCTCCTCGCGGCCCCAGGGGCCACATCCTCCCCCCGCGTCTGCGGAGGAGGACGCGGGTTCCCCTCTGCCCGAGCATGGCGGAGCCGGAGGAACAGGAGGACATGCTCGTCGGAGGAGGAGCACCGGCGGATTGGAGTACTCCGATCTACTTCAGAGGAGAAATCATCCGCATCGTCGGCGTCGCAGGCCCCGTCAGAGGAGCAGATGCGCCGAACGCGGTGGGCTCCCCTGTAATCGGGTGGTCGACGTGGCCCCTCTCTCCCTCTCTCTCTCTCGCTTTCTCTCTCGGCTCTAGGGGGACTCGGAAAATGGAAAAATATCTTGTGGGCTCCACATGGTGGTCCCACTCTCCTGTTTTTTCCACTTGAGGTTCTTGGTCCCCATGAATTGTATATTACAACGTAATTATGAATCCTGTTGGCTCTAAACTCAATTAAGATCAAGAATGGGGGATTAAATTGATATTTTCCTAACTTTGACAAACTATTCTAAGCTTCTCTACCTTTTCTTTTACTCCAAGATTTTATCTAGATCTCCCCTATCTTTCTAACTTGATCATTCCAATAATTCTAACAGAATTATGATCTTAATTTTCGACTAAACAAACATTTAGTGATTTTTTTTAATTATGAGGCTAAGCTCCCATACAATTTCACCAGAAAAATTCTTCAAAACTTTCCATTCTAGGTGGGCCGGAGCTAATTAAATGGATCATGTTAGTTAATTGATTAAGTAACAACTTGATCACAAACTTAAAGTGCACAAAATAAGAAAATAGCCAATAAAATTATATACAAAGTTGGGTTTTTTCAATATTTGATGAATACTTGAATCACATACAAAAAGTTTGGTGAAGAGGGAGTATAATTGCATTTAATTCTCTTTTCCTTCTTCAAGTTAGAGAGCTATATGATTATAAAAGGCATTATAATCAAGTTGAAGAATAATTTTTATGAATCAAGATTTGCTCTTGAAATTATTGTATTTATCTTTTTTGATTGAGCTTCAAACTCCATTCGGATTCTCATAAGGATTTGGTTGCAAGAAATAAATTGGAGATCATAGAGAGGTCACGGATAATAGTCTGGGTTGTTTTAAGCCATCAGAAAAATACTATATTTGTTTATAGAGAAATTCAAAGCACAACCTTTTCCTATCTTCCACTAGTATTCAACAGTAAAATTTCTAAAGTTAGTTATGAAATCAAACGATAGGAAATCAATGAAACATGTATTTTGAGGATTCATATATCCTATAATATTAACGAATAGATTTAGTCATTAAGCTTTAACATAGATATCCTAAGTTAAAAGTTATGACTTTTCTAGTAAGAATTCATTGCCATTAAAAATGTAATCATAAATAAATACAACTCGAGATAAACTAATAATTTTGTGTCCAAATTAAATCAAAATTGACTCAAAATTAACATATTGAATCCTCATACCAATATTTTATATCACAATTCAGGTACTTATGATGTCCAAAATTATTTTTCAATCAATATTAATAATTTTTTTAGAAAATTATAAATAGCTCTTTATATAGTTTGGATTCAATCAATTAATTCTCTAATGAAGATCCTCTTAACTAATAATGCTCAGCCATGGACATCTAGTACATTGACTAAGCTTTCATACCAATATTTTAAGTCAAATATTTGTAGAAAATATGATACCCATATCATTACTTCTCTTTAGTGATATTTCTGAAAATTATTTATGATTTCCAAAGGTGTAACTAAAGTTAAAAAAGTTTTTTAATATAATTATTTCAAGCATTTTTCTAAAGTACTCATTTGTGTTATCTGAACGATACAAGATTCAGGGACCGAGAAATGTCAATCGTTCTCGACTGGTCAGCAAGGGAACCATACCTGCTAGCAAGCCGAGAAGACTCCACATCACGGGATGCCTTACGCATGTGTCAGCTGCAGCAGCCTGTGCATTAAGTCCAACCATGGTGTCGGATACCTCTCCCATCGCTCAAGGGGTTACCAGGGCAATCCTTAGCTTCAAGGGAGATGGCGAAGCTCTGCAGATTATAGATCTGTCAACCATTTGAAAAATATGCTATTAACCCAGATGTTCTATCTGTTAACCCTGCATTGGATCGTCCAACATAAATACCCTAGTAGAATGATCGATATTCATAACGTTAAGATGACTTCTCTATCATCCGATTCGAGATCTCTAAAGGATTAGCCCACTCAAGTTGCATAAGGCTATCAAGCCGCATAAAGCTAGAGGAACAATCAGTTGTTCAGTCATAACTTCATTTTTCAAGCATTTTCCTTTGCGTTCGCCAACACATCATTCTAACACTATCAACCGGCCTCTTAGATATTGACGACTGCAAGAACAATTCCAATATTCGTCCATCCGAGGCGCAGTGCAGTGGAGCTATGCTTGTGTGTGCCCAGAGGGATACCAATTTGGTCGCAACGCCTCAAGATTGGACGGAACGACGCCAAAAGCTTCATAGAGTAAAACGTACATAACTCTAGGCCACATTTCTTTCGCGTCGGCCTGTTGTGGTGTAGCTGATGGGACATCGGCGAAGGACAGGGCGACATGGCCACTCAAACTGGGCGTAGGCGGGGAAAACTGTTAGTTCTATGGAGCACGTCGTTGTTACGCTTTCGTTCCACAGGTTTCGCAGTCGGCGTTCTCATTCTCTTGGTGACGATCACGTGTTTGTGTTGGGGGCCCCGAAGGAAAACCTCGCCGACCGGAGAGAAGATTCAGGCTCTGAAGAAGGAAATGTTCGAGCACAGTGCAGGCCCACTACTGCGGGACTAGGTCGTTTTTACTGAAGAGGAGCCGGCGATGGCTACCAATGACTTGGACGACGCCAGGGTCATCGGTCAGGGAGGACACGGGTGTGGTCTGCGGGGGCTAAGCTGGAGAATGACTAGGCGGTTGCCAGAAAGAGGTCCAAGAAAATGGAGAAGAGTGAGAAGGACGAGTTCGTGACAGAGGTGACGTTCCTCTCCCTGATCAACCACGTCAATGCGGTGAAGATCGTCGGATGCTGCCTAGAAGTGGAAATTCCCATGCTGGTCTACGAGCACGTCCCATGCTGGTCAACTTCCTCCACCCCGAGGACCAGCAACAGAGAAGACGGAGCCTGAAAGCTAACGGAGTGGATCGTCTCACCATGGAGGAGGTGGCGACGGCACTGCATCTACTGAGAGCCTCTCGGGAGCATCCTTGGGCTCCGCCATATTCACTGGAGGCGGAGAGGCTGTTGGGTCAGAGAGAACCGATGGCTTACGAGACAAGTGATTTGGGAACTCCATTGAGTGACACCAGATTGGAAAATAGAGGCCGGAAGGTAGAATTATCCACATAACTATCGGGTTATATCAGTCGTAAGTATTTTTATACTAGGACGATGTCTTCATTATCGAGAGATTTTACTATAACCCATTGAACAAAGCTGCTGTGAAAACATAAAGTATTCCACGAAATTTGATATTTATGATTTGATATAATATCCTCAAATCGAGGATTGAAAGAGAGTCTTTCTTCAATTGCAGAACAAAGTTCTTCCAACCACAAATGATTTATAAACCGTCTCTAACGAACGATCGGTTCATGTTTGAGCATGATGAATCCATCTTATTTTATGGATCAAAAATAACGAACGATCGGTCCAGGAGAAGAAAGATTAAAAATAAGTTATGGATCAAAAAATCCATCTTATTTACATTATACATTACCCTTAGATTTAATTATTCAGATAATAACGCCTATTAAATACAAGAAAATCATGAGAACACTTGCGAACAAAAATAAAATACTCTAAAACCAACAGTGAGGGCTTTCCATTATTTTTCAAGTTGAGCTTTATATCATGACTCACTGTTCAATGGCCCATTGTCCTTTATAGTTTCTTCCACTAAGTAGGTACATAATCAATGATTCGTCAAGTATATGAACATAGTACTTTCCGTCCCATAGCTTGTTACAATCATAATGGGAATCGAAGAAGCGGGCCAGCACCTCCACATCATCAGCAGTCGGCCCAAACCCATTAAGACGTAATATCCCTCTTTACTTATTTCTGTCATTAATCATCAGAGAGGTTATCGATAATCTAGTATATCCCCAGAACGATCAAAGAATAAGATAAAGTTCATCTGAGGTTTCCCTCATATTGCTCTGCGAGGAGAGGGCGTTAGGGTCAGTTATTCTCATGTTTAGCTGTTCATCTTGATTGGGAAATATACTATAACCTCTCTACCACAATATCAGAAAGGCCATGAGAGAGAACTAAGAGGTAGGGATGGATGACAAAGACATGTTCTATGTTCCACAAGGTTACTCTCATTTTAGAAAATAACTTTCTGTCCTTTTTACTTGACCACCTCTATTAACAGCACTCACTTGCAGGGGGGATGTTAAGGATATTCAAGATAACGGTTATTAAAGGATAATCAATTGAAGAAGAAGAATTCATAATAGGAGAGGAGAGCATGGCATTGAAAGTGGTTTACATTGGTCCATCCCAGCACGATGTAATAATGATGCAATGTAGTTTGATTGAGATAAAATATAACTATAATTATTTTTAATAAATTTGATACCAAGAAAATAATGGGCTGGACCTAAGTCATGAAGAGCGAAAGTCACATGCAAAGAATTAATCACAATGTAAATGCAACTTTATTTAGGACTGAGAATGAGTATGTCTCAAAGTAAATTAGTAAAAATATTGAACTAGAAAAGTCATTTTTATAATATAAAGATGTATCTATTTTAGAACTAGTGAAACCAAGTATTTGAAGATGATATTTTAGTTTGTGAAACCATGCACGAGGGGCTTGTTTAAGCCCATAAATTATTTTTTTAATTTACATACATGATTAGGAAAAGATTAAAATCGACTAGTTGTTCCATGTAAATAAGTTCTGAAATGTCTCCATGAAAAAATATATTTGAAACATCTAGTTGATGAATGCACCAATTAAGACTGATAGTAAGAGATAATAAAATACGAATTAATGTAATTTTCACAATTGGACTAAAAGTTTCAAAAAAATCAAAACCTTCTTATTGGCTAAACCCCTTTGCTACTAGCCTAGCTTTATGTCTATCGATAGTTCCATCCGACTTATGTTTTAGTTTAAACACCCATTTATAGCCCAATGACATGAAAGTTGGGATATCTAGGCACTAGAGTCCATGTATTATTTTTAAAAAGTGCATTAAATTCAGTAGTCATTGCTTGCAACCATTAAGGGTTTTTAGGGGCTGAGTTAAAATCAGTTGGTTCTATGGTGTCAGATAAGGTAATATTAAAGCATACCGGTAGTTAATATTTTGTACTAAGTGTGGTGAGATTAACATTGGGTTTGTGTTCTTTTTAAAGAGAAATTAGGTCAACACCATAATATGTGTATATGCCTTTAAAAGACCTATGTTTGGCTGGAGGAGTAGATTGTGGACTTTGCGTGAGTGTATGAGAACAATATGAAGATGAATTTGGTGTTTGAACTATTTGATGATTAGTAATTGGAGAATAAATATTTAACTCAAAGAATGGAGAATTGCAAGTGAGATAATCATTTTTTGTGAGACTTTTCATTTGACCTATAGAGGTTGTAGGAAAAGAATAAGAGTTTGGACAACTTCCTAGAATACCTTTATCAGAAGATATATTAGAATTTTCAGAAATTATATTTAAAGAAGAGAAAGGAAAAATATGTTCATAAAAAATAGCATGCCTTGAAACGAACGATTTACCTGAATTCATGGATAAACATTGGTAGCCATTGTGTAATGGACTATAACCAAGTAGAGCACATTGATCCCGATCGTGATGTCAAAGTTATGTTGAGTGTAGGGTCATAAGTATGGATAACATAAATAATCAAAAGTTTTTAGAGCATTATAATCAGGAGACATTTTAAATAGAACCTCATATGGGGATTTATTTCTCAATATTGGTGTTGGCATTCGAGTAATTAAATAAGTGATAGTGCATACAACTTCGTCCCAAAATATATCTGGCATTGAAGCTTGATGAAGAAGTGATAAATATGTTTCTATGAGATGCCTATGTTTTCTTTCAGCTGTGCCATTTTGTTGAGGAGTATGAGGGCATGAAACTCTATGTACTATGCCTTGGTTTTTAAGATGATGACGTAATGCCTGAAATTCACCTCCCAATTAGAATGAAACGAAATAATTTTTGTAAAAAATTGTCTTTCTACTCTATTTTGAAATTCTAAAAAAATATTAAAAACATCACTCTAAAGTTTTAGAGGATTTAGCCAAGTATATTTACTAAAATCATCTATAAAAGTAACATAGTAAGAAAAACTAAAATGAGATAGAACTGGTGAGGGTCTCCATAAATTTGAGTGAATTAGTTCTAAAGGTTTTGTTGAGATTTTATTTAAACTAATAAATGGAAGTTTGTGAGATTTTGAAATACAGTAAGCATCAAATCAATACTATTTTGGTAATCGAGTTGTTGGTAAACCATATTCCTCAATATTGCATGAAGAGTTATAAACTGAGGATGGTCGAGCCTATTGTGCGATGTGTGGAAATTGGTTCTTTCTCCAAGAAAAGTAGCATGTCCATTGATGTGTGGCTTCAAAAGATAATGTTCATCTTTAATTGTTCTTTGAGGTGGATCTTTTGTGTTTTCTCGTCCTTCACAAGACAATAATCAACATGAAATTCAACAAAAATATTGTTATCAGTTGTTAGCTTTTTCACTGATAGTAAATTTCTAGTGATCTCTGGTATAAACAAGATATCTTTTCATTTTAGTGAAAATAAGAAAGATTTTAAAAAGGTATTGCCAACCGATTGATTTTTCAAACCTGAGCCATTATCTATTTTGAGATGATCCATTCCTTGATAGTTTGTTGGCATATTTATCACATGTTGATCATTTCAGGAGCGATTCATCCTTCCTGAATGCAGCATATCGTGAATGTTAATATAATTACATATAGTATAGTACGCCTAGTCCGAATAAGCACCATTGCCTAGAAATCAGGTAGTTGAGGCAATGGGCTTAGAAATATTACCAACGGTTATCATATATGCTTGTGATGCAGCTTGAGGAAATTGAGTAAATTGAGTCATTGAATTACCTTGATTCCATTGGGGTGTAGGATTGCTTTGACTAAATACGGGAAAATTATTAGAATATATTTCTTTGCACTCCTTACCTCGGTGTCCAAACTGTGAGCATATTTGACACCGAGGTTGCCAATTCTTATTTCCTCTGCCCCTTCTTCCTCTATTTTGTCTTGATCCTCTATTTTGCCATTGCTAATTCCCTTTATTTTGATTTTGAGATGAAGAAAGTTGAACATTATTGGCTGTAGGAGTTAGACTATTGGTAGTTTGAATTTGATAAAATGCATAAATTGCATCATGAGCCTTTAATCCGGTTATTATATCTTCAAACTTCAAGTGATTTAGATTTGCACTGATGCTTACTGTAATCGGATGTCGTGCACATGACAGTTCTTCTGCTATATTTTTAAACATCTTTGGTGTAGTCATTAGTAGTCATGTCTCCCTTATTAGCATTGTGGAGTCTTCTTTGAAGATCTATAATTCTTGATTTTCTTTTTGACGAATATGCTGTTTTTATTAGATCCCACATTTTTTTGTGGTATTCTTCCGTCCAATATTAAAGAGTAAAGATTCGAAAGAGAGGAAATAATAAAACCCAGTACCTACTGATCATGGCACCACTAGATTTTATATTCTAGATTTACTTGTATATTTTTGTGAATATCAGCAACAGAAATGACTGGGGGATCTTCTTCAATATATTTCATCAAATCATTACCCATTTAAAATAGGAATGATTGAATTTTCCCAAACATGATGATTTTCTCTTGTAAATTTTACCGACAAGATCAATCTGGTGGGAACAACCGTTGAAGCTTGGTCTGTAGAGGCTATCACTTCTTGAGATGTAGAGTTGGATGATCTCATCGACGCATTCATTTGAGCCTCTATGGCTCTAGTACCATGTGAAGAATTCAAGAAGAGGAGAGAGAAAGAAATCGTGGAAGAAAGGAATAAAAAAATGAATTGCATTAATCTGTTTCATGTTTACAGTGTTCTATTTATAAGGTTCTGATTTGGAACCGTTGAATTAGTGAACGTTGGTCCACCAATCTTTAATAGCCGTTATCTTGAATATCCTTAACAGAGGGTGGCAAACAAGGGCAGTGGAAGGAAATAGAGATGGGATAACACTCGAACCGAGAGCTCACGAGCAACCCTACTGGGGCGACGGGGTCTCACAACTAGAACAGACGGTGGAGCTGCCACAAAAAGCAATAGGAAATTGATATTCAAAAACTGTCTCCTCACAGAAACGAGACATACAAGTCAATTTTTAAAGGCCTTACAAAACAAAGCTAATCAAGTGAAATAATAGAAAGTTTAAGAGGATGTCTTTTCGTATTCCGCATCTCTTCGTGTTCTGCACGTCTTCTCATATTCTGCTAGTTGTCTCGTATTTTTCCACGTGTCTTGTTTCACGTGCGTTACTTTCTCGCCTTTAGAACACGCTAATAAGAAAGATGCTCTTCAACCAATATTTTGACTGTATCGGTATCCTGCAAATGTTATTTTGGCTTCTCTTCCTCATATGCCAGTCCTCGTCTCGTATTCTCTTCCTCTGAGAGGGTGGTCGTTACTTGGAAGATGATAATGCCAAGTACATCAAGGTCGTTGGCATCTTCTTCAATGGCCAAGTCCGGATCAAGAACTTGATAGACCATGACTGCTATGATGAGAGAGCCCAGAGAACAGAGACAGCAAACAGTTTCATCATTCATTTCACCAAGAACAAGTTCATGGTCGTTGGCTGCAACACGAACGCTCTGCTCGATAGTGAAATGTTACGAATCCTTCTTCACTACGAACGTTGTCCTGACTTGCTCTGATTAGATCGACAAGGGGAAAGGGGATGGGCGGGAATTACTTGGAGAGAATTCCCTCCAGCCTAACTACAACCCGCGCTCCCTTCTGTTCTCAGGGGACAGTTATTTTGTATGACTCAGCATAACATTATCTGTATGGCTTAGCCCACAACAGAAGTTGAGTCCTAATTAGTTGAAGTCATTGTGTGAGCAGAGAGTATTTCCGCTGAGCATTATAGAGGATTCTCTTGAAGGAAGGTCCATGTGCAACCGTGGACTTTGGAGGCTTCTATTCTCGTCTCTCTCTCTCTCTCTCTCTCCCTCCCGTGGTATATATACCTTGCATGAGCTTTCCAGTCTGTAAGACACAGAAATGAGCAGTCACCCCAGCGGAAAAGACCAAGACAAAACCATCGCAAAAGAATAGTCTGTGTCCGAGAAGAGGTGGCATCTGGGGAAGGCGTTAAGTTGGCCTCATTTTTGCTTCAACTTGCATGAGTATTATATAATAATTGAATTGGTAGACTCCTACGGTCCCCCATTGATAACCTAAAGGTTCTGGCATTGAATGCAGATCTGAAGAGTAGATGGCGTCGGCCTCAAGAGCATTTGTTACTTACTTTTCTTTTCTATGTTATTGAGCCAAAGTGAATTAGCCTTTTTCTGCTCCGTTCATATATTCTCTCTCTTTTTCCTCGTCCTGAACAGTTTTTTTGAGAGATTGCAAATTTAGGGCTTTTTTTGGCTATTCTCTCTCCATCTTTGCGGTGCACTTTTCCTGCTAAAGGATGGCTCCGTCAACGAGGGAAAGCGCGGAGTGGAGACGCGTTTGGCAATATCCTCCACCGATGCGATGCCGGTGGGTGGATGATTCTGAATTCCGCAGTCAGCATGGGCGGCGCCTTAGCTGTCGTTTACTGAACGGCGGGAGACCTAGCAAGAGCGCACAGGAGGGGGGGGAGAGAGAGAGAGAGATAAAAGGATAGATAAACGTCGGTAACAGAGAGAGAGGGATGTCGACGATCGGAGTCCTGTTCGTGATCCTCACCGCGGCGTCCACGACAACGGCGACAGCAAACACACTACTGCCCTCCTGCAAAGCAAAGTGCGGCGATATCGAGATCCCCTATCCGTTCGGCATCGGCGACGGCTGCTACGCTAAGGAATACGGAGACTTCAGCGTCAACTGTCTGCACAATTCCACGGCCCTCTTGAACAAGGGAAATCTCGAGCTTCTCAACATCTCCGTGACCGGCGAGCTCCGAATCAAGGGGTCGATCGGCTACGACTGCTACGATCCAAGTGGAAATAATACTAGCTTCTTTCCGGCGGTTAATATCGCCAATGGGCCGTTTTCTTTCTCCCACAGGCGGAACAAGTTCTTCGTCCTCGGTTGCGATACGGATGCTTATATATGGGACCAATATGGCACGCGTTATTCCGGCGGCTGCATGTCCTACTGCGAGACATACGACGGGTTCAGGGACATGCCGGACCCCAGCAGCTGCTCGGGCTTGGGCTGCTGCGGGGTTTCCATTCCCAGGGGCATCAAGAACTATACAACCCGGATACAAACCTACTACAAATATGCCTACTCCATGGATTTCAACCATTGTGGGTTCATTTTCCTGGCCGAGCAGGATCAATACGCTTTCAATATCTCTGATCTGAGATCTGATAGATTTTCGAAACGAACCCTGCCGGCCGTTCTCGACTGGTCCATTGGTAGTCAAACCTGCGAGGAAGCCAAGAAGAACACGACCGTCCCGTACGCGTGCCGCAGCGACAACAGCCATTGCATCAAGTCGAACAACGGCGTGGGATACCTCTGCAACTGCTTGGACGGCTACCAGGGGAATCCGTACCTCCCAGATGGCTGCCAAGGTATGAACGAGACGCCGCAATTTGTTCGGCTATCGGCCGGAAGACGGGATAGCTATTATTCTCAAGTTCGGCCTACAATGTATTTGATCGATCTTCTTGACTCTCCGACGATGCCCTGTAGATATCGACGAATGCGTCCAAAGCCCAAATGTCTGCCCATCGAACGCAACCTGCATCAACACGGAGAGCGGGTACAACTGCACTTGCCCAGAAGGCTACCGATTGAATATGAATTTCACGGGGGGATGCGAAGGTAAGATTTCGGCGGTCCCTGCGATCAACGGTTCAAGGGAGGGGGAATCGGTGAAATATCTAATGGAATGACAAATCTCTTGGAAAGTTAACCGCCGAAGGGTAGGATCATTCTAATTGGTTCTTCTTTTTCCCTGTGTAACTTGTCGCATCCATGAGAATGTAGATATTAATGAATGCCAGCGGAACCCATGTTCACCCGGCGAGTACTGCGAGAACACAGAGGGAGGCTACGAATGCAAGAGCGGCGGCATATCGTTGCCTTTGAAGTTGGGTCTCGGTAAGGGGATTTATTTCACTCATCCATGCGATGGGCCCATTTCCTTTCCATTTCGGAAGATTTCGTCGCTGAGGTCTATAGCTTTTGCAGGGGTCGGCGGCGGCCTGCTCGTTCTTCTGTCTGCAAGCACCTTGACCTGCTGGGGACGCCAGAGAAGAAACCTTGCCGATCAGACAAGGAAGGTTGCCGAGTTCAAACAGAGGATGTTCGATCACAACGGCGGCCCGTTCCTGCAGCAACATATGTCTTCTCAGCCGGGAAATACGTTCAGGATATTTACGGAAGTGGATCTGGCCAAGGCCACCAACGGCTTCGCCGACGACCAGATCATCGGGCGAGGAGGCCACGGGGTGGTGTACCTGGGAAGGCTGGAGGATGACACCCCGGTCGCCGTCAAGAAGTCAAAGATGATGGACGAGAGGGAGAGCAAGGAATTCGCCCGGGAGATGGCCATCCTCTCGCAAATCAACCACGTCAACGTTGTGAAGATTCTGGGTTGCTGCGTAGAAGTGGAAGTCCCCATGCTGGTCTACGAATTCGTTCCAGGAGGTACGCTGTTCGAGGTCATTCATCGCCGGAACGAGAGGACAACGATCTCCCTGGAGGTCAGGCTGAGGATCGCCACAGAGGTCGCAGAAGCGCTGGCATACCTGCACTCCTACGCTTCCCCTCCAATTCTTCACAAGGACGTCAAGACGTCTAACATACTGCTAGAGAAGGACCACAGAGCCAAGATCTCCGATTTTGGTGCTTCTTCCTTCACACCGTTGGACGAAACAGAGATCGCCACAGTGGTTCAGGGGACCTGCGGGTACCTCGATCCCGAGTATCTCCAGACCTACCAATTCAGCGAGAAAAGCGACGTGTACAGCTTCGGGGTGGTCCTCGTCGAGCTTCTGACGCGAAGGAAGCCACTCCACCTCCAAGGCCCCGAAGACGAGAGGAGCCTCGCCGTGAGCTTTGTGTCCTTGTTGAGCCAAGACAAGCTGGAGAGCATTTTGGACCCACAGGTGTTGTCGGAAGGTGACGCAGAGATGCTGAGGGAGGTCGCTGAGCTCGCAGGCCGATGCTTAAGAGTGACGCGAGAGGACCGTCCAACCATGAAAGACGTTTCGATGGCCCTCCACTTCCTGGGGCCATCTCGCGGGCACCCCTGTGTTCCGCAACACGCTCCGGAGGAGGCAGAGAGTCTCCTAAACGGCGAGCAGTCGACGGGGTATTACAGCGCCGATGTCGCCAGCCGCTCTTTGAGCGGGAAGAACCACGCAATCATTGAGATAGAGACAGGTAGATGATGATCTCTTAGGCATGAATGGTGAGGAACGAAGAAGCAGGAACCTACGACCATGCCACCAGTACACCGGCCAAAACCGATTTCATTTACTATAAATTCCTTTGTTTGATATTTCCTTTTTTAGTTTCTAAATGCTTATAAATACTCTTTTTAGTCCTAGAATAAGGCAGAGGTCGTGAGGGTCGATGTCAACCCGCCGCCATCATCCGTCTGCCAATTTCTGCTCCCGTCAATCTTCATGTCTCTGCCTTTCCGACATTACCCACCGTCCACCCTCGCCCTCCATCGCCAGCAAGCCGTCCCCTGCTGCCGCCGCCGCCCTTCGCCGCCTCAACCCAGTCGCCTCCTGTCTTCCTCCACTGTCAACGACTGCTGCCCGTCCACTGCCCTGCATCCCCGTCCTCTGGTATCGTTTGGTACCGCCTCCGCAGTCGGCCGCTGCCGCTGCCGCCGCCGCCATTTCTTCCTCCACCCACCTGCCCTGCTGCACAAGGACTGATCATTCACAAGGAAGATATCAAGTTCGATTGATGATTTCTTTTTTATTCTACAAAAAAATTTAAATCTAAGTAAAAAAATAAATCGATATTTACCTTTGCTTGTCCGACGTATGAAGTTAGTAATCGGTATTAAATAATAAAAGAAATAAATTAAACTAATCTATGGATGATAAAGGAAATAAGAGAGAAGAGAGGAAACAAGAATGACTACGCCGGCAAATCGAAGATTGTGGATCGTAAACAGGTTTAACATCGATTCAAGCAAATAGATCATTCAAAAAATGAAGCTAGTAACGAATTAAAAATCGAAAATCCCTCTTTGACACGGGGACGAGGCGGACGAACGAATCCAAAAATCTGAGGCGAATCAATTGATTTTCGTTGAACGAATCGGTTTGTAAATCAAAATAAAGCTAATAGGAACTCGAGAAAAAAGATAAAGAAATCAAACAAGAAGTATATGAAACTAAGAGTTTTCTCCCTTTGACTCCGGGGACGGGCGGATGAAGGAATTCGAGCAAAATCCTGAATTAAAAATCCTAGAAATCAATCGTTTCTCCGATTCATTCACCTGTTACTTACACGAATCGAAGAAACCGATTGAGAACGAAGTAGAAATCAGATTTTTATCCAAACAAGCACGAGAAATCGATGAAATATTGCAAGAACACCGCCGTCTAGTTGTTTCTGGACGTATCCACTCATTTCTGCCCATTTCTCGAATCGTTTTACTTTAGTTAAATAATCCAATGCAATGAGCCTTAATGGACTTCCTTAACGGGCTCGTAATTCCACTATAAATCAACACATATCCCGAAAATATTCTGAAAAAGCACCAAAAATTAAGATTAAGAGTACAAATGTCAAGTAAATCATACATAAGCATGTAGTTGACATAATTAATCTAGAATATGCTTCTTGATTTATTATAAAATATATATCATTGAGCACAAACTAATGTACCAAATTACTATGTGCTACTTATCACATATAATGACATGTTATAAAGGACAAACATCCATGTGTTTGCAATTTGGATGTTATTCAAATATAAATGGCATCCAATGTTTATGTGATTTATTCGTTATATCTCAATATTTTCCATATTTATCTTTTTAACAGCAAATAACTCATACGAAAAATGATTCTAAGACAATAAAAGATGTGATCCAATTTGAATACAAGTAGAACTCATTGCTAGTCAAATTGTGATCATAAATAATTGTTAAAATAAATTAATAATTCTGCATTCAGATAAATGAAAATTGACTGACAAAATATGAAATTAATATACGGAACCTTCTTATTAGTATTTAGTTTAATTAATTTAGCAACATATGATATCCAAGTTTTTTCAATCTATATTTCATAGGATTCAGAAAAGTTTTAGATAGCCCTTTTACATGGTTCATATTTAATCCATTATTATGCACAAAAAATGTTAGAGTTAGTACTCAATTATGAGCATCTAGTAGCATGACTAGCCTTTCATGCCAATATTTTACATCAATTTTTTATACAAAATCTAATATCCAAATTAGTACTTTTTTCTTTAATAGTTTCTTTCATAACTATTTATAATTAAATTTTTAAAAGAAAGTAATTATTTTGAGTGGTAATGATGGGGTGGCTGAACCTAATCATGCCACTTCTCAAGATGATAGAATAGAGTCCATTTGAGATCAAGGTCAACTTCAAGTGGGGCCTCCACCAGTAACAAGACGTCAACTCTCAAGAAAGTTAGCTAGGATTAGGGTCAACCTAATCTTCAACCTCATATGGGATAAGTGGACAGGAGGCTAACTCTATTGCTAGATCTCAAGTGGAACCTCAGGTTAACAACCCATGAGTCCATAGGGATCAACAAGAGGGTCCATCCTATGTTGTGGAGCCATGAAGGAGAAGAAGAAGAGGAGCCAATGGAAGAAGGCCCAATAGAAAAGGGCCCATCTTCCCATGAGCCCATAAAAGAGCGTCCCTCTCTAATCAGACGCCACCTCTTCAAGAGGTGCATATAACCACCTTAACCGTTTCTCCTCTTTCTTCTCCTCCTCCACCGGAATCTTCTTCCCCTTCTCCTCCTCGGCTGGAATCCCCCTTCCCCTTCGTTCTCTCTATCTCTTCCCCTATTTCCTTTACCCTCTCTTTCTCTACCTCCTCGCCTTCCGCCTCTCTGCCCTCAATCCATCCTCATCGCCGTCCGCCCCCGTCGACTCCGTTCCCATCTCCTCACCGCGGCCCCGTCGCTGCCTTCCGCCTCCTCGCCGTCCGCCTTGTCGCCGCCTTTACGCCTCCTCTCCGTCCGCCCCATCGTCCCCTTTTCCACCTCCTTGCCTACGCCTGCCGTCGCTACCCTCTGCCTCCTTGCCGTCGCTCGTCATCCCCATCCGGCTCCTCCCCGTCCACCTTCGCCACCACCTTTCCGTCTCCTCGTCGTCCTCCTCGTCGCCGTCTTCCGTTTCCTCGCCGACCACCCGTCGCCCCTTTTTCTCTCTCTTCCGCCGTCAGCACGAGAGCCGCCACTTTCTCTCTCTCTCCCGCTGGCGCCCTCGTTTCGCCCCTTTCTCTCTCTCCCGCCGTCAGCACGAGACCCACCTTTTCTCTCTCTCTCCCGTTGACGGCCCCTCACTTCGGCTCCTTTTTCCCGTTATCCCTTTAGTTAGTATTTATTTATTCATCCTCGCTTCTCGTCCCACGAGAACTTTCCCTTTTCTCTCTCCCGCCGTCGCCACGTGCCCCCTCATTTCCTCTCGCTCTCTCTCTCGTTCTCTCCACTCTCTTACGTTCTCTCTCCCTCTCTCGTTCTCACCCTTTCTCTCACATTCTCTCTCTCTCTCTCTCTCTTCCATCTTCTTCTCTTTGTGGCTTCATCCTTGATCTCGTCTCCTTCCATCTCCATTCATCCTCTTCTCAGAGCGTGGAAGGAAGATAGAACCAACTATTCAAAGAATTATCAAGAGTTTTCAAGTCTTCTAACAAAGTAACGTTACTTCTGAATTGTTGTGGTGATTAATCAAATTTTATAACTCCTTTGCTTTAGAAGTGATTACTCATAGAATAACCACTAAATCCTAAAGTTTGGTGATCTATTCCCCAAAAGAATTATTCTATGATTCTTTGAAGGATTAGCCTTAATTAAGAAAACTAAATGATCCCAACTTTTCTTAATTGCAGGATTATGCATAGAAACTTGAGCCCCATTTTGAAGTTTTAAAGCGCCTTCTTTACAACCTTAATTTGATAATTCGACTTCCTAAATTTGTTGTAAACTCTTGAGGAACTTAGAATCCAAAATATGAATATTTCAGCGTATTTACTGAATTATCTTAAGGGCACTTAGTAGGGATATTTCTCAAATATGTGTTTATGAGGCCTCTAATTTGTACTATAGTTAAAGAGACTATTAAATATAATTCGGTCCATTTATCTATCTTATGTGTATTTTTCATTATGATAGCTTTTTAGATAACCAAGGTTCATGAAACAAACAATGTTTCCATATTTTGAGATGAGAAAGCACATAAAAAAAAATATTTATCATCAAACTATCAAAAGTTAATTTGAAAAATCTGAGTTTTATATCATAACTAGTTCTGAAAATATTAAGAAGTTCTGAAGAAAATGTGAGGGAGACTGAAAAAAGAACAAAAAGAGAAGGATTTCTTTTCATCACATCGGAAGAGTCTTACTAAATTCAACATCAGTTCACATCGTAGTATTCAACATAAGTGATTAATTATTATTTGATAATTTATTTCCATCTAATTTACATAAAATTGTGGGTTTTAAGGTTTTATTAGAACATGAAATTTAAGATGAATGAAGTTCATATCTTTTCTTGTTTTGCCTCTAGGTATAGAATTTACAAGGCCATTTGGAAAAACCAAAGCAATCGAAATATAAATAATGTGACCTTCTGTTCTTAAAAGTCATCATGTAAAAACGAAGGTTTACTGAAACTTAGGGAAAGGCTTTCTTGGAGAGTAGATGATAGTCAATAGGACTGAACTCATTTAAGTTTGGCCAGTAATTTTGTTGATGATTATTATAATAAAAAACTACATATTTGACTGCTAAGAAAATATAATTCAAACCCCCTTCTTAATTTTGTGACACCACTTAGAGGTGAACATAGTTAATTTAAAAATAAAATGAATAAAGTTTAACTTTATTGTACCAATATCCAAGAGCTTGTTTTGGGGAAGACAAGTTCTTGGCCAACAAAAACTTTATTTTCCTTTTACTTTTCACCTTTTCACCCTTAACCTCAATCATTTAATTTGAATCTCCTTAAAGGAATACCATACTTATGTCTAATTGATGTGATACAAATGTTAAAGAGAAACATGGCTAAAATATAGTCTGATTTTTAAACATGAGAGATACTCTAAATGAGGTAAGCTACAATCAAATATTTATGCCAAACTAAATATTTCATGTCTCCTCAAAGTTTTCAAATAAGCACATGATTATTCTATATGAATCAAATTAATTAATTTTC